AAAATGCAAGTTTTGAAATTCCTTATTCGTTTTATTATTTTAAAACAACTTTTGTCAATTTTTGACCATAATATAAATCAGGTTTTGGAATTTTCTACAATTGTGATTAATTTTGCAGTACTATTTCCATGGAATTAATATTAAAAATGAGCTAAATACCTTTTGATTTAATGACTGCATTTTTAGGTACTAAAACTGAATCCAATAATTCATGGGTGAACTCAAATATGCTAATTAATTAGTCCAAACTAAACTTTAAATTATGAAACCATATACAAAAATGCACTTTCTTTGAGCAAATATATATTTTTTTCGATGTATTATGGATTTTTGATCCTCAAAATATGGGGGGTAGCGGCAACCTGGGAAATATGGTTCCAATAGTTTGGTCAGGAGAGCTGTTGAAAGTTTGGACTCCTTAATTCGCTTTTTGCGAATTTCGCTATAATTGGAAAACTTTTTAGGCGAATCTAAAAATTTTTGCACATAATTATAACATTTGTTTGTCCGAAGATAATTCGACACAAAAATATTTTTTAATAATTATTTATTATTTTTCATTATTTTATTTAATAATAGTAGAAAAAATTTGAATAGTATTGTAAATAAATTTTTACACCATTTTAAGAAATGCAATTATTGTGTGCCAAAATGCAAAATTTTAACGAAATCGGTTTAATGGAAATCGAAATTTAAATCGACGTCTTTTCAAAAATTCGAGTGCTTAGGAGCTATACGACCAATTCCGTTCAAATTTTATTAGTTAAAAAGCAATTAGAGTTAAAAGGAGTTAAGTTATTAGAGTTAAAAAGCAATTTAACATTAGACACAGGCATATAAAAGAGAAAAAAGGAAAATCAAAAATTTCAATTACTCTAAAAGTTATATCTTTTACTAATAAATATAATTTTTTTTTATTAAAACTGCTCAAACAGACAGATTCATGTACTGGTTTTTACCTAATTTTGGAATTGTATATCTTTTTTATTATTTATCTTTTCCATTTGGAAATTTCTGTACATTTTCTTCTCTCCAATTTACATGTAAGAAATCACATTTCACTAATTCACCATTTCATAATTTTCTATTACGACATTATTTTTTCCAAGACTGGAATAAATATTATTTTCTTAATTTTTAAGTGTGCTTTTAAATAAATAAGTTGAAATTGAAAATATTCAGGGCTAATTCAAAATCGGCTATTTTAGTCTCGCGGACCATATATTGCACAACCTGGATGAAAAAAAATAGAGAATAAGACTGGATTTACGGTATCCTACTGAATCGCTGTGAAATAAAGTTTTTTTTTTTTAATGGCGGGCACTTGGAACTATTGTCCATTGGCCACAGAAAGTGGCCAATGGACACGTTGGCCAATGGACGTTGGTCAAAGTCCACGTGGTGGTTGGTCCACGTTGGCCAAAGTGGACAATGGACAATGGTGCTAACTCTCTTTTCGTTACCCAGTGGGCACCCGTTGCGAAGCCACGGCGGTGGAGCAGCGTCGCCCACGTCACACAACCACAACCCGTTTATAGAGCGGGTCACATTCACACACAAAGGAGAAAGGACATAGAACACAGATATAAAGAAAGAAACATCCATGCCCAGAGCGGGATTCGAACCCGCAGCTACTGGCTCCGCAGTCAGGCACGCTAACCGCTCGGCAACCTGGCCGGTTGTTAAAAAAAAGTGATTATGAAAACATTATTAAAACCTACATTAGAGTAAATGGCACTGTACGTTGGCGTAAGTATGATAGTTTATTTTATATAATAAAAATAAGACACAAATTAAATCTTAATAATTAAAATCAAATTATAAATGTGTGTTTGCAGAACAGTACTTCATCAGGGGACACACTGCCTGCAAACACACAGGAGCCTTTNTATAGGGCGGGTCACATTCACACACAAAGAAGAAAGGACGTAGAACACAGATAGAGAGAAGGAAACATTCATGCCCAGAGCGGGATTCGAACCCGCAGCCACTGGCTCTGCAGTCAGGTACGCTAACCGCTCGGCCACCTGGCCGGCTGTTAAAAAAAGTGATTATGTAAACATTACTAAAACCTGCATTAAAGTAAATGGCACTGTACGTTGGCGTAAGTATGATATTTTATTTTATATAATAAAAATGAGACACAAATTAAATCTTAATAATTAAAATCAAAATATAAAAGTGTGTTTGCAGAACAGTACTTCATCAGGGGACACACTGCCTGCAAACACACAGGAGCCTTTCTCTCGGGGCACTATTAGTTTTGGTTTAATCCACTAACAACAGTAAGGCTCCTGTGTGTTTACAGGCAGTGTGTCCCCTGATGAAGTACTGTTCTGCAAACACACATTTATATTTTGATTTTAATTATTAAGATTTAATTTGTGTCTTATTTTTATTACATAAAACAAATTTTGTTTCAGCTGCCTTGTGCGCTTTTCCAATTTGACTTAATGATTTATTGTTTCAATGTTTGTATTTATTTACCTTTTATGTATCAATATTGACTTAGAAAATTGAATTTATTGTATTATTAGATTTTATTTAATATTTTATAACCATGATTGAACGGCCGACTCAATTTTTGGGCTGACGAAACTAATGTTCAACTCCGCAGCCTTGCAATTTTGAACCTAATCCAGAAGACAAGGGAACTCATGAATCAAGTATTGGAAGAAATTTGTCTCAGTAGAGGACTTTTTGATAGAACTAACCGCAATTGCGTTACATGGGGAGGAAGAGCACGAGAACCTCCCACGGTTAGCCTGGCGGCAGGGGGACTCTAACCCATGATCCGTCTGCCACTGAAGATATTTTACGTTAGCACTGCTGTCGGTGCAAGCCGGATGCGGATTTCGTATCGACCAGCTATCGCCGGGATTCGAACCCGATTCATCTCATTGGAACGTAAATGCTCTATTTCCTGAGCCATCGCTGCGCATAAAAATGATATTGATAAAAATGAAGCATCAATTATTTTATGATATGTAATGTCAAATCTTGTGCTCGTAGATAGTCTAAGAAAAACGATATAAGTAAATCTAGTTCCATTACAGACTACATCAATTGTATTAATTTCCACTTTTATTTTGTTAGTTAGATCAGTGGTTCCCAAATGGTGTTCTGTGGAGCCTTATTGTTGAGAGGAAGTGTTAAAGGATTCCGCGAGATAGTACTTTCATAACCAGTGATAAGTTTTGCAACTTTTGATTAAATTTAGATACAACATATAATTCATAATATATTTAATCTTTCGGTTGTCATTACGGAATTATTTCAAAGCCACTGTAATAGAAATGGCATGTCTTAAATGAAAATGTAATGTCTCTAATAACAATATAATGAAGGAATTACGAAAAGAACAATCATTTATAAAATATTGCATTAGTATTTCCCAATCAAAATAAAATAAAATAATTAACTCCTTTAAGGAAATATATTTCTTTAATAACCATTTTCAACTTTTATAATAGTTCTATTAAGTTTTCATCTCGAAGTAAACCACAATTCGGCTTATTTTATTCATTTTCCGTTTATGTATGTACACCAAGAACAAATTCATAACTAGACTAGATATGGCACAAGGACTGTAAATTTAACTATCGGACATAAAACCTCCTTTAGGATTATTAATGATAAAACGATGACAAATCTTTATTAAATCTTTATTAAATATTGACCTCTTTATTGAATATTTCAAAAATAGTCTTTTATAGGTTATAGCATTCCCTATTATCTTAATAAACTTTAATTATAAAGTCGAGGATCCGATGAAAGAAAGTTGATTAGGGTTCTGTAGCCGAAAAAGATACAGGACATTAAAAGTGCTATGTATATAGCAATTTTTTTAAAAAAATTGCTAATAAATAAAAATTTTAAGATTCAATGGTTTTATGAACATTGAACGCTAAGGAGAGAGAATTTCAGTAAGAATAAAAAATTCATGCTTACCAATTTAATAAAGTACACTAAAATATTTATGAAGGGTATGCAGAATTTTTTTAAGAATTAATACATTTTAAATTTCAATAATTTTTAACTATAACAGTTACATTTTTAAAATGGTTATATTTTTGAGATTTTTATCTTTCATTATGTATCATTAATCCAGACTCTAATGATTTTTATCAATAATTAAAGTGTCAGGATTTTCCAAAATGTATAATATATAGTTAATAATTAAACAATGCATACGAAGCTTATTTATGAAGGGTTAATTTCTTTTTTAATATCTTTAATATTTAAAGGGGCTGTTTTTCGTGATTATTAGTTTCCAATACATGCACAGTATTTTGTCTATAAATATTTTTTATTCATTAGAGAGTTGTAATTAAACTTTTCTTCTGTCAGTTTATTTGTTAATTTAGTTATGGAGCTTGAATTTTTAGTTTTTATTCCTTATTATTACTTTTGTTCATTAAATTAAAGAAAAAAGATAGTTTGTATTAAAGAAATTCTTTTTTCGAAAAAAATAAAAGTGTCATTTAAAAAATAAAACTCATTGTTAATTTTTTTCCTGAAAATAATCAATAGACAATGAACAGCTTAAAAATGTGACTAGAATGATTTAAAAACATTGAAACTTTTTTTTAAAATAATCTAGTTTAAAAGCATATTGTATACTTAAGTTTTGAATTTTGAAGCTTATAAAACAAGTTTCTGAACAAAACAGTAGAAAGATAAATTTCTTTTGCAAATAATTTTTTATTTATTTATTTTTTTTTGCCTAAGTTTTTTTAATGGATCATTTATTTTCAATAAATTAGCATACTAATTCCGTTAATACATTATAGACTTTTTTTTATTGAAAAAAATTCAATTGAAATAAATGGTACACATTATATTAAATAATGTATAGATTTTAAAATTTGCTAATGAAAATTCACTTTTATTCAAATCACTAAAAATATTATACATATTATACATATTTTCGCGCAATGCATATCGCGTGAAAATATGTGTAAAGCATTTCCTAATAAGAATGACAGTTTTGCATGACGTAATTTGCATCAATCTTTCTTAAAATTACGAGCTGTCTTCTTATCGCAAACCTAACAAACTAATCCGGAACCTAAAATCACGATACTTATTCAAATTACCCTTTAAACCACTCTTTTAGTCCCCCAAAGCGTAAACAAAACTTCTCCGAGTGACATCCTACTATTTCCTTCTCCTTAAAGCAATTAATTTCTGGGGATTTTTTTGTTCCTCTAAGTGTGTGAAAATAAGTGTTTCATTCAGATTTGAAAGGGGGAAAAAAAAGCGTGAATTTCTAAATCAAGACTTGAACTTCCTCCGGAGTGGTGTAAGTAAGGGAAGGGATACCAAGGTGAGTGATCTGGACGTACTGATCCAAATCGGTTGGTGAAATTGGTATAAAAGCAAAAATCTGATCCACTCCTCCCATATTATCATCATCCATCAGCATTCAAGCATTGCATTGGTAAAAGCAATACTTTCTTCTTATTTTCACTCATAAATACAAAGTAAAACTTATTTAACAATTAGTTTCATTAAATCGAGATTGAATTGTAATATTGAAGTTTAAAAGTTCAATTGTTTTTGCCGATTAATTTAGAACTCTACATTAGAGCAATATTAATTTGTAGTGCATATTGTGATTTGAGTTATATAGTGAACGTGTTTTTGAATGTATAATTTTTAATTTTTAACTATTTTAATTAACTATCGGTGAAAAAGTATAAAGTGTTATACCCTAATAATTAATTATTGCACATCATCATCTAACAGCATTCAAGCATTGCATAGATAAAAGCAATACTTTCTTCTTATTTTCACTCATAAATACAAAGTAAAACTTATTTAACAATTAGTTTCATTAAATGGAGATTGAATTGTAATATTGAAATTTAAAAGTTTAATTGTTTTTGCTGATTAATTTTGAAGAATTTAGAACTCAACATTAGAGCAATATTAATTTGCAGTGCATATTGTGATTTGAGTTTTATAGTCAACGCATTTTTGAATGTTTAATTTTTGTCTATTTTAATTAATTATCTGCAAAGAAATATAAAGTGTTATGCCCTAATAAATAATAATTGCACATCATCATCTATCAGCTTTCAAACATTGTATAGGTAAAAGCAATACTTTCTTCCTATTTTCACTCAGAAATACGAAGTAAAACTTATTTAACAATTATTTTCATTAAATTGAGATTGAACTGTAATATTGAAGTTTAAAAGTTCAATTGTTTTTGCTGATAAATTTTGAAGAATTTAGAATTCAAACATTAGAGCAACATTCAATCTATAACAAAATTCTTTGAAAGTTAAGAATGTTTTTTAGCTAATTTAGTTTGAAATGTTCAGAGTTAATTTGTAGTGCATATTGTTTTTGCGTAGTGTATCTTGCATATAATCTTTTGCGTAGAGTTGATTGTTAGTGCATATTGTTTCGATATCATCCATCAGCATTTAAACATTGCATAGGTAAAGGCAATACTTTCTTCTTATTTTTACACCGAAACACAAAGTAAAACTTAACGAATAATTAAGCAATTCGTTTCATTAAATTTAGATTGAAATGTAATATTGAAGTTTAAAAGTTCAATCTGTTTTGCTGATTAATTTTGAAGAACTAAGAATTCAACATTAGAGCAACATTCAATCCATAATACATTTGTTTGGAAGTTAAAAGTGTTTTTTAGCTGATTTATTTTGAGATGTTTAGAGTTAATTTGTAGTGCATATTGTGTTTTGAGTTTTATAGTGAACTCATTTTTGAATGTATAATTTTTCATTTTTATCTATTTTAAATAACTATCTCTAAAAAATACAAAGTTTTACACCCTTGTAAATAATAATTGTCTCTCATCATCTATTAGCATCCAGGCATTGCTTGTTTAAAAGAAATACTTTCTTATTTTTACTTAAAGACACGAAGTAAAATTTATAGAATTATTAATTCATTAAATGAAGATTGAATAGTTATATTGAAGTTGATATAAACATATATGTCTGTTTTTTGCTGATAAATTTTGATGGATATAGAATTAGTTTAAAGCAATATTAAATTTATAACATACTTTTTTGGAAGTTAAGAATGAGTTTTTGCTGATTTATTTTGAGATGTTTAGAGTTTACTTGTAGTGTATATTGTGTAAAGAATTTCACTTGGAACGCTTTTTTAAATTTATAATTGATCATTTTTGTATGCTTTAAATAATTATATGTAAACAATACAAATTTTCATCCCCAATAAATAATAATGGATAACAAAATGTGAAGTAAAAAAATTTAGAAGGCTACAATAAATTTTTTTGGCTAAAATCTTAAAAGAATTTCTATTGAGTCGTGATAACTAAACTAATCTTTATATTTTTAAAAATTATCAGAATTTTTTAAATTTTTTGATTCAAGTTTAGAGAGTTACAAACACAAATGCAATTATTGAATTTTTTTTAACACTTTCAAATTTTTATTAAGTTGTGGAAATTAAAATAATTTATATACTATTTTTTTCTTCTATATATTAATTTTCGCATAATGTTTAATCTATTTATTATTTCGATCTCTTTGAAGGTTTGGTACAAAGTTTTAATAGCATTTCTATTTTGTATTTGAAATTTTTTTGAAAGCATAGTTGCTTTATTTTTATTTGCATTAAATCTATTGGAACTCTAGAAAAAGTTTTAATGAAAAAAAATCACTATTATTACAATAATTATTGTTGAACTTATTGATTATAAATAATTTACTAAGCAACTTAGACTAAAAAATTCGAATTTTTTAATTTATTGTAACATTTAAGCTGATTTATTTTTTAAGTGTTTGATTTTTCTGCTGATTTACTTTAAGGCTTTAAAAGTTAGTTCGAAATATTTACTGCTTTGAGATTAAAACTGAATTCTTTTTTTAAATATATTATTAATTAATTTACTTCAAATAATTTTTTTAAATACCACAAAATTTGTCATTATATTAATTAATAATTTTTTATTCGAAAGGGAAAAAATATCCCTAATAAACAATTTATTTGGTCAATTAAATTTGTTTAAAAGGTTTTGTTATTTGTTTTTATTAACTTAGGAAAATTAAACTTAACTATATTTACTTTAAAAATAAAATTACGATTCGATAATTTGTTTGTTTTGCAGCCTCAAGATTTAGTATAGGTTTTACAAAAAACGTTTTGTGATTAAATTATTGCTTTATTTTTGTCAAAATAATATTTTTTTAAATTTATTGATTATTTAAGTGTTGAAACAATTCAGACGTAAAAAAAAATATTTTTATTTAATTATATATTGTAAAAAATTAAAAATTTCTGAAAATTATGTATTGTAACGTATCAGCTTGTATATATTTATAGAGTTCAGATGATTTTTTATCTGATTTATATTGAAATATTTAGTGTTAATTTGTAGTTTTTTTTGCTTAAAGTTTTAAACTGAAAATTTTTTTAAAAAAATAAATGATAACATTTCATTTATATTAATTAATTTTTGGCAAATTTTACCTTAGTTATATACGTTGTTAAGTAAAAATTACTTACAGAACCCACAATGAAATGTAAAATTAGCTGGGAACAATTAATTTATCAAATTGAAACTTTTAAAATTTTAAGTAAGTTGTGGCATTTTAATTAAACTGTGTTTTTAAAATGTTCTCGATTTCTTAGTTGGTTTATTTATAAAATCTTATAGTGAGCAATAACATTGTGAAGAAATGTTTTTGAATTATATTATTTTTTTATTTTTTTGTTTTAAAAAATTTTATTTAAATGCTTCAAAGTTTTTCATGGTAAAATAGTTGAATAATTGTAAAATAGTTTTCTTAAAAGTCACAAACTTATTGATAATAATGGCTTACAATGCACAAAGTGCAGCCATTAAATTAGCTGAAATTACTACAATAAATCTTTTAAAAGTTTTTAATAAAGTTGTAGCAATTAAACAAAACTGTAGTTATTTTAAAACTTTGTTTGCATGAATTGATTTTAGTTTCTTTTAAAAACTTCATTTGCATCAAAAAAAGAAAATCAAGCAAGTTACTAATTACTAAAATGTTAAGTTTTCAATTTTGTTCAATTTCTTATACGAAATTTTTTTTTTTTAAAATTCTTGATGAATAACTGCACTCTAAAAATTCTTAACATTGAGTTGCCACCTTATTTCTTGCAGAGGTAAAATAAATACATTTTTTAGAAGAGAACTGCAGTTATCATACGAAACATGAAATTGATGAAATAACAATTGTTAGAAAGAATTTGTGATGAATGAGTATTGTGAAGTGTGATGCTTTTGCTTTTTAAGCGAAATATTTTCACAATAATGTCATTAAATTGGTCCTAATGAACATTAAATTATGTGTTTTAAGTAAACAAACAAACAAACAATAAATAAATAATACTTTAGATGTAAAAAAAGTAAATAAACAATCTGTCTATATGTACTGTAAAAAATTTAGTTTAACTCGACATCAAAAATGGTTTCAATTATACACCAAAATTTCTTGCAACGTATGATGGTTAAAGAATATCTGGCTGTAAAATAAATTGTTTGTAATTAATTTAGTAATTTGTTATGATCATTGCTAAATGTAAAGCTTAGCCAAATATATAATTTAAGAGAGGGGTAAAACTTTTCCTATAAAAAGGCAGAGAGCAATGAATTCCCCAAGATCACTTGCTGTCAGTAAAACTAATTTAGAGAAATAAAGAGGTCTTTCCATGTATATTAGAGATATTAAGCAAGTACAAGATTTAATATAGTACATTCGAATATTGTAAATTAATTGTTTTATTTTCTTTCTTAAAAAAAGTAAATGAAGTATTTTTAAAACCTTTTTTTAGTCTATAAATTTTTAAAAAACAATTAAATATAAAATTTAAAAAGGAAAAATGTGCAAGTGTATTGAAAAAAATCATTTATAAATAGCATCCGAATTACGTAAGAAGTTATTTTGATCTAGGAAGACTATTAGGTTTATTTTCTAATTGTAAACTAACCCGAATCCCCTGTTTTGGGTGTTAAACTTAACATTTGCTTACTTAGCTGCTTAAAATCTATTATATTTAGAAACGTGAAATTATAAAGGTGTGATAAAAAGTGTACTAGGTGTTCCATAGAATGAAAAAAAATTCTGATTCAGTTCAAAAATTATTAACTGTAAAACTCGCGGTCGAAAAATACGCGTTCGCGATCTACTGTCCGGCGAAATGCAACTACAGAGAGGAAATACAGAATGGATTTTGTATTACAATTTCAACAAAAGTGTTTTTATTTACATTTATTTTTCTCAGAAATTTTTAATTATTCGGTAATTATTTCAAATTTAATTGCTTTTTCGTGATTTTTTTCAACATTTTTGCTTTACATCTTGATTATTTGAAAGTCAAAGTGAATATTCATTTTTGTAGAAAATTTCATTTTTCTTCCCGGGATCTTTATTCTGTTATTTTTTAATTAAGGGCTCAAGCAGATGTAAATCAAAAGTAAAAGTAGCAAAAGAAATAGAAAGAGAGAGGGTGTGTATGTGAGAGAGAGAGAAATTTAACGAGCTACCAGATATAAACCTTAACATTTACAGTGAATTATAAATTTTTTTTTTTAAAAAAAGCTTAATAATAAGCAATAAGAACAATTCCCTATTTGAATTGTTATAAATTTCGTCAACGAGTAAATTTTACTTCTCATATATTTCTTCTTATTCATGGCTAGAAATTTCTCGGTAAAAATGGTTATATAGGAATTTGTAACAATCGCAAAATAACAATTTATTTAATTGTTATTTTGCCATATTCAAATAATCATAAAAGAGATGATACTCAATCTGTTGAGTGGGAGAAAAATAATTCATTGATTGTATTTTGCCTAATACGGTTAAACAACCAAAATTCGTTCCTCGAAAACTTGACCCACCTTATGAACCCATTTAATTCCGTACATCGGGTACTTACTGCAGCTGAGCGGTGGAATCTGACAATCTCATAACCGGTTGAACAGGGGTTCAAATCTCAACGTTGATACTAAAATAGTTCTTCCATTTCTTCAATACTTGAGAAGTTTTTAACGTACCCCACTCTTCAACCGGTGGCCCTATCAGATATGAACTATCATTCACGTATAAATGACGCAACACCCACAGAGCTCCTATGTCCGTTTAAGTTTTCTTTTTACAGTTCAGAAACTATGCTAGTTATGAATAATTACACAATCGTATTGTTTTGTATTCACGGTTTTTTAACCGTACCATTTGTAAACGACTTCAAAACCGCAAAGGTAAGAAAAATTTCTTAACCATAAGTTTTATGGTTAATCGGATGGGCAGACTGCTACTGGTTATTTTACCTTATTTCAGAATGAAAATTCTAACAGTGTTGAGTCACCCATTCTGTTGACCCATTCACTAGTGTTGAGTCGCCATTTTCCTTAAAAGCTACTGATTTTACCAGAACCAATCAACTACGACATAATGATTTCGTTACTTGAATTAAAATTTTTTTTTCGAATAATGTGGTATTTTTAAACATTTCTTAAAGAATAATGCGCTTCTTTTACAACATTTGAGAGTTATCAAACTCTAGCCAAGACTTTTTCTGCTGATAATGATAAAATGGCGCAAAATTTCAATAAGAAGAAAGGCTAATTTTTTTATGAGAATAATTTGTGATGTAACTTTTTAATGCTGGAAAAAATTTATCCATTTCAGCATGGTTTGGAATTATGAAAAGCTTGAAAAAATTGTTATTCAATGAGTTCAATGACTTTCTATTAAAACTTTGATAAATTGGGGATTTTTTTTTAAATATCAGTTTAACAATTTTTAATTATTTTCTCGTTTTGAAGACTTATCAATTCCTTCCGGCTAAATAGTGTATAAAGTATAAAAAAGTATTGCTTTACTTCAAGCGTAAGCTTGTCAAGTCATATTAGTTAAAATTTTTCCTGTTTTTTTTCTTCAAAAAAACTTTGATAAACTGCCTGAACACTTTTACGCTTGCTTATTTTTACTTTTCTCATTATTACTTACATTTATTAGTTGAAGTAATAGGTTCTAAGTAAGTAAAGCTTTACTTTAAACTTTAGGCACTCAAATAGTGTTTTCTTTTCTTACTTTACAGAGCTAAAAAAGCTACGTTTCCTTATTTTTACCGATCTTATTACTATTTGGATTAATTTATTGGAGTAATAGTTTCGAAGTGAGTAATTTAATAAAACTAAATTATTTGTTTTACATGATGTTGACTTTTTCACAGCTTCTTACAGCCACAAAAGAAAAAAAATGGTTTCAGCACAGAAATTGACATGCCTTTTGGTAGTTCTGGTCATTTTGGGCACCCTTTTCACTGTGCCACCTACAGAGGCTCACAAACATCATCATGAAAACAACATTGTGGAAATGCTGGCAGCCGGTATTGTCGCCAAGATGTTGTCAGAACATCATAAACACCATGGTTGTCATCATCATCATGGATAATGAAATCATCGTATCATCTGAATGTAATGAGGGATCATCATTGTATAATTATTTCACCTGCTGCAGTATCATTCATCTGTAAAATGCATGCATTATTAATGGATTGTGGAATGTAAATTATTTTTTTTAAAATAAAGCTTTATTTTAAATTTTTTAAATGTTCTTTTTTATTTAAAAGTAAGAATAAGAAATGGATAGCTCAAATTTTTTTTAAATTTCTTTTTTTTTAAAACTCGTGTAGCAGTCAAATAATGCAACTTTTTTTCATCACATTAGTTTTAAATAATTGTGAAGTAGAAAAATGGGTAATGAACTAAATTTTCTGCATATTTTACCAATTTATAAAATATTGATCAATTAATAAATTATTAACCAATCAATAAATTGCGAAAATGGAGCTATATTTCCATTGAACACAAGACCTTATGTTACTCGGAAAATTACTATTATTAACTTTTTTACAAAACTTTAATAAAATTTTTTTCTCTGTACCCTCAAAAAATTGAATGTAAATAAACTAATATGCAAATTTTTTTGAAATAATTATCAATATTTTTAGCATCAAAAATATTTTTTTTAAAATTTTTTTTTCACTATATCTATTGAGAAACACGCTTTAATTTTTAGTATTTTTGATTGACTTATTATACTTTCAGAACAATGACATCGTTAGCTGTTATGCCCTGGACTTCGCACAAAGTACCCCACTGAAAGTAACTTAAGAGTTTCTTCATAAATCTTCAGATGTTTTGAAGATTTTATTTTAAAAAAAAATAACTGCAAGTTGTGATTTCATAATCGCTTCGAAGACGTAACTTTTCTTTTAAATATCTGCAGTGATCATGCCTGAAAATGTGATTTAAATCAAATTTAATTGGATTCCTGTATGCAACTTCTAGCGCATGAGTGATTTTCTGAATCGACAAAAGACACGATTTACCTACAGTGACGTCGCTGGCAGATATTCAATTGTACATGATCAATTTTGAAGCTTCTGAAAATATAGTAAGTTACCTTCAAAATGAATGTAATAAATTTTTTAAAAAAAAGGGAATTTAAGCAATTTTTGCGCAAATTTTTTAAGAAAGACAAGAACTTGCGGTGACAAACTTGTAATTTTAATTATGACGACAACTTTTTTTCTCATTATTGAGTAAGACTTTCTGAAAAGTTTTTCTCGTGATGCTCTGCTAAATGATTTCTTATTAGGAAACTAATTCATTGTTTGGTAAGCTTATCTAAGACTATAAATAATAAATTAAAAATAGAATGGAATTGAAACAATTTTTGAGCAAATTTTTTGAGAAATACAAGAACTTGCGGTGACTAACTTGAAATTCTAATTATGACGACAAGTTTTTTTCTCATTATCGGGTCAGGCTCTCTACGAAGTTTTTCTTGTGATGCTCTGCTAAACGATTTCTTATTAGGAAACTAATTCATTGTTTGGTAAGCTTATCTAAGACTATAAATAATAAATTAAAAATAGAATGGAATTAAAACAATTTTTGAGCAAATTTTTTGAGACAGACAAGAACTTGCGGTGACAAACTTGAAATTCTAATTATGACGACAAGTTTTTTTCTCATTATCGGGTAAGGCTCTCTACGAAGTTTTTCTCGTGATGCTCTGCTAAACGATTTCTTATTAGGAAACTAATTCATTGTTTCAACTTATCTAATACTCGTTAATGCAAAACACGCTGTGCCAAACCGACTTAGCTAAGTTTCCCCCCACACTTTAAAAAAAAAGTTTATTTAATGGGTATGCAATTGAAATACGAATAATAATAATAATAAAATAAATTATTTTATGAAAATGACATGAAAAAAAGTTAAAAAAATAATCAAAATACATTTTGGAAGCTGTTAGGACATGGAAAGAAAACCGTAATGATCTTTTTTTCGATATTTTTCTCAGTGTTACGTAGGGATTCCAACCGTAACGGACATAATCTCTTACCATACAACTTTTTTTCGTAAAAAAGGGAGAACTCAATCTCCTTTAAACGCAGTATAACTTAACATTAATCATCTTAAAAAGATCCAGCTTTATAACAGTTTATGAAGATGATCACTATTGTAAATGACAGATGAATGGCATTTCTTTTGAAATGTCATTCATCTTTAATACGGTTATCCTTTCTAACTTTGAAAATAAAAGCAGTGAAAGTGGGGTAATAAGGCACAAATTAGGCAATACAGTTCATATAGATTTGACGATCGCATTTTTTCCCCATCCAAAATCATACTTTTTTATGCTTTACAAATGAAATTTACGTTTAGTGACCAGATTGTTCACTTTTTAAAATTACCTTGCAGAGTTGGCCAGAAAAAAAAGAAAGAAAAAAATAAACGCACCACCACGTATAATTTTTTGATCTCATGATCGGATCTTCACGTCCTAGGACCAGTGATGGGCATCATTCACGAACATTTTATTCATGACTAAATTTATTCAGAATAAATTTATTCTGAATGATTATTCATACGAAAATTTAGTCATTATTAATCGTTCATTATGCAAATGTATAAAAATTTCTGAATAATGATTGATGAATAAACTCATTAGTCATGACTAATTTTTCTGAATAAAATTTGAATAACCAGCAAAAAATGCAATCGATATGTCTTTGTCTATAACGAGATGCAAAACATCGTTTGCTCTTAAACGTCTTATTTTAGGAATTAAACTATAAAACTAAGACAAGTATGACTATTTATTTTTATGTTATTTTGACTTACTCCTGAGTAACATACTTAGTTGTGCTAAAAAGTAGGTTTATAACAGTTTAGTTACTTAAGTTCCTTTTAAAATTTTGTTCTAAAAGCTATAAAACGCAATTTTTTTTATAGTTTTTGAAAGCAAACGATAATATTATTTTAAATTTTCAAACAAAATTTTAACTTAAAAAATTAAACGCTTTTTTGCCATGTAACCATTTCTCAAAAGTATGCATTATGTTAGACAAAAGTAAATTTTCTCAAACATTATATAAATATACTTGAAAAGGATTAACGTTTTATTTGTAGTTGTCATAATCGTAGTCAATTAGAGTATTCCGTGCCCATTTTTGTTGACCAGTGAAATTATTCAGTTATTCTTGACTAATGAATAAAGGATACTGAATAAGGAATAATGAATGATTTATTCTTTATTCAAAATATTTCTGACTAATGAATAAATCTTTATTCATCATTCATTATTCAGATTTTGAATAATCATTCATCATTCTTTATTCATTATTCTGAATGACAAATGCCCATTCCTGCCTAGGACTATATCATAAAGGTTCGAGAGGGTGATCTCGAATATGCTAATTAATTAATTAATTAGCACAGACGATATTTTAAATCAACAAAATCAGACTCGAAAACGTATTTTCTCTGAATAAACACACCTTTCTTTTTACGATGGATTAAGATTTCTGACTCTCAAAATATAGGGGTTAACCGCAATCTGGGAAATATGGTCAGGAGAGCGATCCAAAGTTTGGACACCTTAATGTTAATTTGACTTTGTATTGTTAATGTTAATTTGTGTATTTCACCATATCTCGAGAACTTTTTAAAGCGAATTAAAAAAAATTTGCACACAATTATAAAATTCTTCTCCCCAAAAATAATTCCATGCAAAAAATAAATTCCAGTAAGTATATATCATTTGTTATTATTTTATGTAATAATGGTTGAAAAAATCTTGAAAAGTAAGGTATACGATTTTCCGCATAATTTTAAGGAATATAATTTTATGGCAAAATACAAAATTTGAGTAAAATTGGTCGAATAGTCCCTGGAAATTGAATATAAAAGAAAGCAGAAATTTAAAATTCGAATTTTTAGAAACTATTCAACCGATTTCACTGAAGTTTTACATTTGGCCGAGTACAATTACATGCTTTAAAATAATTTAAAAAACTGTATATCTACAATTGAAATTTTTTTCAACTTTTATTAAATAAAATATTCGGAAAAAATAAATATTTACGAAATATATTTTTTTGCATGAAATTATCTTTGGATGAGCGAATTTTATAATTATACGCAAAATTTTTCTAATACGCTTAAAAAATTCTCAAGATATAGCGAAGTGCGCAAAAAGTAAAATTAACATTAAGGGATCTAAACTTTGGATAGGTCTCCTGACTTAACTATGCCGACCATATTTCCCATGTAGCAGCTACTTCCTATATTTTGAGGGTCAGAAATCCGAATCCATCGAAAAGAAGGTATGTTCCTTCAAAGAAAGTTCGTTTTTGTGTTTGATTTCGTAGCTTAAAATATCGTCTGCACTTTTTAATTTGCATATTATAGGTCACATCCTCGAGCCATTAAGCTTGAGATTAACGTAAAGATTCGATCATTAGATAAAAAATTATTCAGAATGGTTCATTTTTTTTGGCGCACTGTACGCCATAAACTTTAATGGTAATCAAGCCGAATATGCAGCACAACTGTATTTACACCTTCTAATTCTTCTATCCCTCCTCCAATTCTAGTACCTTAATTAGTTTTAAGTAATACATCAAATAAATTCTTTCACTGTCTATCTGTTGAACACGGTTTTACTTTAATTTACTGCGGAAGTACTTTAATTTCCTTTTCAATTCAAAAGGATGAAAATGATAAAATAATTTGTTAAAAAATAAACGTGTTTATATGCTAAACATGCAAGCAAAAATATCGATAAAATATACTAATTTTAGATACACCTAAAACGGGTAACACTTTAATTTCATTTTCGAAGTAAGTTTCCATCAGCACCAAAATGCAGTTTTTCCAATAGTTTTTCCCTTTTTCCCATAGTAGTTCCCATAGTTTTTTTTTTTTTTAAAGTAACGTGCCCTACATTTCCAACTTGTACTATTTTTTCGGATTTTAACAACCTTGATGAATCTAGAAATTCACTAAAACGATCTCTATGTTAAGATAGATTTTTTATGTTTACCTACATAATTTTTTTAAATAAAAAAAAGAGCTAACTTAACAAATATTTGACCTCATTTGCAATTTTTAAATTTCAAATCCACATTTTTTAAATAGAAAATTGAAATTCTGCTTGTACAAAATATATTTTCCACATATTCTGGAAGAACAGCAATTAGAATTTGTATGCACATAGCTGGTTGAATTGAGTGACAGTTTAGAGGCAATTTTTT